TTTGATAAGACTTGTCAGCACATGATATTGAATATTGAGATTATAATGAGATCTTATCAAGACTAATGTGATTATTTAATCCCATGTCATTGAGATCATTCAAGCGCGCTGAACTGAAATTTAAAATTTGATAACTATCATTAAAGTTAATAATTGCTTATCTGTGTACCTATATTTTGCCAAAAATTCTGAGTATACCTATATTAAGCCAAAGGATGTTTGAATATGTATAAGATGTTTTGTTATTTGTTCGTATATTGGAATTTAGGCGATTGGAATTGGAATTTAGCGCTGCGAATGACCAAATGGTTTAATACAATTACTGTGTTTACGTACTCAAATGTTATATTTCACACGTTTGAAATTAATATGTTGATGTCATTGGTTACATGAAAGCAGAATGTTTTTAAAACTGATTTATTTTTACTATATTAGGCCGTAAATGATTTTATATCGAATTTTTGTAACGTTTATACGCTAAACAATGAATGATGTTTTGCACTTTATGATTTGAGTTATATTTCAATTTAAAAGTGATGATGATTAACTCGCTTTAAACTTATCTATCAATCAATAAACATTCCGATTAAATTAGTAGCAGCTAATTAATCATTCAAGTTGAAATGTCTGTTATTGGGCTAGCATTTGCAATGTAATAAAATTAGAGAAACAGGCCGATGCTAATATTGATTTTCTTGTTTCACAAGTATGATGAGCTCATATAATGCTATTATGATTAGGAGGAACATGCAATATATATTGAACGCAATTTTCGGTGCGACTTAATTACAGCTCACCGATCTTGTCATTGTTTTCTGATATTTCGAGAGTGATAGTAGGGTAACATGGGGCAAAAGGACCACTGCGGGTCATGGGCCCATAGCGGGTTTCCCGCTATGTATGTCAGATATTGGTCCGTGCGCTCTACCGCCGGTCGACAATTTCATGGGGCTGAAGTGTGTGGCTATACGTTTTGCAAAGAGTTTGCGTTGATAAGTTACTCGCAGATAACTGTTTTAGCCCAGATAAAAGTTTTTTGCTGCTAAATAAAACTGTTTTCGATTACTCATACGAAGCTTTCGAAATTACTGTGAATTATATTTTGAACGTATTATTTACAGGGATAATTTTGAGTTCGAGTTTAGACTATTAGCTTTTAAAATAAAATTTTGACACGATATAAATTGAAATGATACCTAGTGGGGCAACGGGCCCATGTGCGTTACGGGGCAGAGCGCCCATGGTGGGCTTGATTAAATAGGGATTTTAAAAATATTATTTTATATAGAGAGAGAGACGTTTCCTATCGTCTCATAGCTTTTAAAGTTGGGTGAATCGGAGTGATTACTCCACCAAATTTACGTTACGTTCAGGTTCAGGTTCAAGATACCGGTATTAATTACTTATCGTTTTGTCAGGTGGTTGCCGAGTGGCACTTGATAATTGGCACGATGAAAAGGTTCTCTTTTTGGAAGCGTTACGGCAAAGAAATTTTATTCGGGAGTAATTGGGCAATTTTGTTGGACAAGATTCGTAATAATATTGAAGGAGGTTTTATTCGGGAGTAATTGGGTAATTTTGTTGGACAAGATTCGGAGTAAATGGTTGTGGTGACCTATGATTTAAGCTGTTTATGGAAAGTGTGACGGTAGGCCTATTATCTATACTACTACGAAGCTTTCGAAATTACTGTGAATTATATTTTGAACGTATTATTTACAGGGATAATTTTGAGTTCGAGTTTAGACTATTAGCTTTCAAAATAAAATGTTGACACGATATAAATTGAAATGATACCTAGTGGGGCAGCGGGCCCATGCGTGTCACGAGGCAAAGCGCCCATGGTGGGCTCAATATCCCTCTGTGAAGACTTGTGTTATAGATCATTAGATTTGTCTCGATGACCTTTTCAAAACTATGGCTAGCTTTTTGAATTACAAATTACACTTCATATGGTATGATTTTTTTGATTTACCGCCTCAAGGCAGCAGGTTCTAGTTTCTATAGTTATGGGTATTAGGACCCCTTATCGAGTTATTGACTCATGCCTTGCCAAAAGTTTATTTCAGCCAACACCAATGAGCCAAAAGTTGAAGAGTTTTATGGTGATGGCTAAAATCACGATTAAGGACGAATTTCCTGCACATAACATCTGGATTATTGACGAAACTAGATCGAATTTTTTTTGATCAAGTAAATATATTTTTTCTAGGCAAGAATACATTTTTTCATGTCAAGGATGAATTTTTATGGCAAAGATATATTTTTCACGTCAAGGATATATATTTTTATGTCAAGGAAATATTTTTTTTCACGTCAGTGATAGATTTTTTAAGCCAAGATTGTATTTTTCTCAAGTTAAGGATATGATTTTTTAAGTTTTTATAAATTAATGCATGTAATATTTTTTTATTACATTTTCTTATTTTGAACTGTAAAGTGCTGTTTCATCATTTTTAAACCAAAAAAAATTCAATTGTGGTAAAGAGGACAGGGGCCCATTGCCCTAGGAGTGGGGCAATGGGCCCATTTTGACACTTTTTACAAAATAGTGTTTCATTAAAAATTGAATAACTCTATAAGCGTGTAATTCACATCATACATTCCCCATTAGTTGTACCTTTAAACAATACAAAGAACTACCTTATACCAATCAAAACTTCATCAAAATTTTAATTTAAAAAAGGGGGGGCCCGCTGCCCCATGTTACCTTATGTGGATCTGATTTTAAATTGTCGATTTAAGATGTTTCTCTAGAGGTAAAGATTCAATGATTTATATTTCTGTCATTACTCTGTGAACGCTATTATCCTTATTATTTTGTGTTATAATCTTAATTCAAGAATTATGATGCTTTCAATTTTTTTATATTCGTACGTATGGATTCTAATAGCATTCCCGTAACCTATAATGCATTGAGTGCGCAATTTTTACGATGGAAATTGTCGGAAGAATTTTCTCTAGAGAGAGAGAGGGAATAAATGAGCAAGAGATGATGAATTTAAAATCATAACCAACAATTAATTGCGTTGATGGCGTTTGAATTCAGTACTTTGTTTGAAATATCGCCTAAAAAAGTAGGATTAAATACAAGGTATTTTCAAGATTCAAAGTTTAGTTTTCTTCCAAATTGCTTTGGAAATGGACATGTTTTTTTTAAAGCGCCAGCCACCGGTTTTTCATACTGTTAAGTGAAGGAACTGTATCCTCATATATTAATCAGTTACCTCTAAACTTTCTCGATTTTACTTAAAGTATGAGGTACGATTTAGACCAGAGGTTTTGGACATGATGTTTTCTTGATTTTGTGTCCACACGATCGAGGACGATCTTATAGAAAGAGGGGAGATGCCCAGTGTCAATCTGGCGTCTCATTATATTATAATTTATTATAAGATTATATCAACCGTAATTGAGAAGTAATATTCACTTGACGTGATAAAGATTGATGGAAACGTACTAGACTTGAGTCAGCATGGACAACATCACGTGATAGTTCACGCGATCAAGACCTTAGTAGTGGGCGGAAGCCGTGATCCTATAAAAGGGCTGGGAATCTTAGTAAGCGCCCGCAGAAGCTGGCAAGTACTCACGCCGCAATGTAACTAGCGTTAGAGCTACTCCGACCTAACGGTCGACGTCTTAGCCTTTTACCGGTATCCTCTTACTCGTGTATTACCACACGTATCAAGATAAGTTCTCTAGACAGATAGTGTCTTAGGGTACGTACACAGTGAAAGCAGGTTTGCCCGCGCGGGCAACCTGCTCCAACCTGCCACAAGAATGAACATAGGATAATAATGTAAGTGTTCACAGTGAAAACCTGTACGAATAGGCTTCTGTAAATTATTGGAAATCTCTAAATATTTATTGTTCTGCTATTGGGATTTACTCATAAACATTTATTGATAATAAAACATTTTCAAAACATATCAATGCAATTTTATTGTAATAAAACTAACCGAACTAGTACACGGTTTAGATACTGTAAATAAAAGTTAGTTATTTTTATGTTTTACCTTCCCTACATGGATGCATGTCTACTTTAATCTACCAATCTCAAAAATTATCCACATATACATATAAAAAATCAGTCTTTTATTTGCATATATATGTGGATATTTTAGATAGGTAGATTAAAGTAGAAATCTATGTAGGGAAGGTGAAACATAAAAATAACTGTGTAAAAATAACTGTAAGCAAACGAAACATGAAAAAATACCTGTAAGTGGTAACTGGTAACAACTTAACAAGTAACAACTAACATGTTGACACTAGTAACAGGCTGAGGTTGACAACATTAAACCGAAATCTTTCGTTCAGTTTTATTCTGTAATTTATATTATGTATGTATCATGCTGGTTTTCAATAATATTTAATACTATTAAGTAAAATCTAAAGGCTTTATCTATGAATGTAGCGGTAGCGCTGTAGCGGCAAACCTCGTATCGCTACTTAAATATGTAGCAGGCGCTACCGCTACCGCTACTGAAAATGTAGCGGCCGCTAGTAGCGCCCGCTACATGCAGCGCGCTACTGCCCACCTCTGGCTATTGGAAATGCGCAAATGTAATAACCAATAAATATTTATGACAAGGCTCTCAACACACAAATTCACGTAAGCACTGGTGTGCCAAGTAAAAGCACATAAGCACTTAAGCCAGGAAAAAAAATTCAAAAATAAATAATATATTATATTAAATTATTGGAAGGTCAATCATTTTTTTTTGTATCGTTTCGCAGGTCAAAATTAAAATTTGAATCGATTTATGAACTATAGACATGCCAGGTTTGATATATAATGGAACGTAAAAATTTAATTTTTGACTTCACAAATTTACCTATAGAATAGAATCATATGTAAGTTAAATTCTACAATTTAAATCAATATAAAATGCAATCAATATAGTAAATTCAATAAAGGTAAACAAAAATTAAGTAATTTTTTTGTCACCATTGAACCGTCATTTGATCAAAATGTGAAAATTATTTTAAATTATGTTACACAAATTTTTCTCCGTTGATGAATTTTTTCAGACAATAAAAACTCCCATGAATATTATTCTTAGTACGGCTACAAGCTTAACTGCATTGAAATGCCAATTTTGTTTCATGACATTATACAAGCTTGATCAATGTTTTCATCTGTTTGTACATCAATTGAATTAGTAAACAGTTAATTTAAATAAAAGAAATTTCGTGAAAAATTGATATTACAAGTCATCTCTGAGTAGCCATGCCGATTGACAGAATAAACGGGAAAGCATTTGCTAATTCATACCGAACTCTCAATTCTTCGCAACTCATCACGGACAAATTCAACTACTGTGCCAGCGCTATTCTTAACAAAGATTTAATTAAAACGAGTTTATTTTTGCACGTGGATATTGCACTTTCTCAGGCGTGCAGGCTGGTTGGAAAAATTTACTATTTCAAAGCTAAATAACTTCCACTAGTACTCTGATCATGAATTCGTATATTTTTAAGTAGACTTTCACATCAAAATGGAGAAAATATGGTGATCTTATGCAGTAAAAATATAAAACAATATTATTCACCAAAGCCTCCAAAACTAATGTACGAAATTACATGATTGTTAAAAAGTCTCTTCCAAGAATAGTTGTTCATTAGCTATGAGTTTGACCCTAACGCAATCAACAGTTGAGTTGTAATCAACAGTTGGGTCGTCGTAATCAACAGCTAAGTCGTCGTAATCAACAATTGGGTCGTCGTAATCGACAGTTGGGTCGTCGTAATCAACAATTGCGTCGTCTTAATCAACAGCTGAGTCGTCATTATTAGCAGTTGCATCGTCGTAATCAACAGTTTAGTTCGTCGCTGGCGTCACTGCAGTGCGGGACGTCATCGCATACGTTCTCTTCCGCGACGCACAAGCCGTCTGGACACACATGACTCGTGCAGTCTGTAAGAGTGCGTCAAGTGAGAACATATTCACAGGTACATTACTTGAGTAAATAAATATTTACGGAAGGTATGAGTACGCGAGAATATAAGTTGCAGTTTTCCAACATACTGAATTGTATCCAATGTGGATGTTGCACGTAAGAACATTTCAATGGATACTTAAGAACGATACACGCCTACGAGTTCATGCATATGTCGGCGTCGGTGAAATTACTAATGAAAATTTGAATGATTATGAATACTTGATTATTTTGAATATTCAAATATTTTGAATATATGAAGGATGATGGATAACCATCGTGTGGCTTCTGAGCAGTGAGCATCCGATCAAGCAAGTGTGGTGACAGAAATTACATGCTATTGCTTTGACGGGGCTCGATGATATTCTTAGTTTTCATAATATTCATTTGCGTGAATTGTTCTCTAATAAATAAGCTAAAGTCATTTAAAACACAATAACAAATTACAAATCAAGTCATAGCTTATTTAAAATACGAGAGTACAAGAAGATTCCAGAACAATTTTAATTTATTCAATGGTTTTCAAAACGAGACTCACGAAGTTGGGGCAGAAGGGCGTGGGGATCGGAGATCTTTGAATCATGAATCTGCTCAATTTTCTTGCGTTGCTCATACTTTATTTTGAATTGAGAAGAGAGGATCTTTGTTTGAGAAGATGCAGGATCTTGCAACACAAATTTATATAAAAATTTTATTAAAAATTGTCAAAGAATATTCAAGTAGCACAAAAATTTTTTCTTAATTTTTAAAAAATTCGATACAATATGAGAATTATAACCATTTAATAGAAACCAGGTAAAAATTTTACACACATTTTTATTAAACTTGAAAATTTCACTCAGTTTTGGCCAGTTGCATTTAGTTTGCCGCTCTATTCTGGTACGATTTCGAATGCATAGTTCTGTTCTAACGAAATTCTTTCAACTCCCGCAATGAAGCTTGATGGTAACAGTGCCCTACATTTTACACTTACCGCATTCATCTTCATCAGAACGGTCGGAGCAATCCTCGCGGCCATCACAGCGCAATTCCTTCTTTATACAGACCTTAGATTTCGTACACTGAAAATCTTCACCTCTGCAGCCTGTTGTACAGTCTTTTCATTAATTATTTCGTAACGAGGCTTTATTATTTCATAAATTAAAATAACGAGGCGATTCTCCGGCATGAAAACTACAGAGACGACGCCCCACTATATAAGACATTTATTTGTTATTTCTTCAGAAATGGGAACTTGTTTGGTTCGACTGAAAATTTTAAATATTAAAAAAATTCATCAGAAACAGAGGATGGCTCAAAACATTTTATCGTAACAATCAAAAATCCATTTGTTTCAAACTCATATAGTGCTTTCTCAATGTTCGGCATGATATTAATAGGTAATATAGGATGGTCATGAGCTTGCAATGAAACGACAGAGATTTTTTGATGCCTAACAGCACGCGTAACTAATGAACAACTCAATAAATTCTTCCCGCATGTTAGACTGAAGAGCTCAAACAGAAAGAATTTCACTCGGATGCTAATACAAAAATATGCCGATCCCAACAAATCTTTCATCTATTGCATAAATTTAGCAACTCTGTATAATTCTGCGCCCGTTCAGTCTCTTAACCGCGGGTTTGAGCCGCATTTATTGCCCATTACCGGAATAATTTCAAGAAATCATTCTGATGCGGTTAATTTTAAAGAAATTAATCCCTTAATTCTCACCACAAGCTCGCCTTGACTCGTCGTAGCCGTTGCGGCAGTGCGGCTGGCCATCGCAGAACCGCTCGCTGGCCACGCATTGCTTTTTGCCGTATGCCTGGCCTTCAAAGCCGCACAGCCGCTTGCCGGCGCTGCAAACTGCAACAGTGCACATGCGTCCAATAGTAAATTTTGTAAATCTATTAATCCATTTTTCTAGTAAATCTATTTTTCTCTTCCCAAAAATTAGAGTATTTTAGCATAAAATAGTGAATATGTTCTCAGAAATAAAATATGTAATGTCCCTAATATCATTCCTGAGCAACATGTACAACAATATCTTGGTTATCAGTACTAATTAATAACATTTGGTTCATTGTTGAGCACCAGGAGTTCAAATTTCAATTGGAATTCAATCTAAATTTAAGCCGCAATGAATTAAGAACTTGAAACCCCGATACTGCAGGTCAATCTCAAAAAGTTCATAGATGTACTCTTCTGGAAAGGATTTTAATCCTTATTTTTCTGTAATAATAACAGAATTCTTGTTTATTCCTGACATGTGAGATAGTGAATGTTTGCACTGAATATCACCCACAGCAGTTATGTTCATCGCTGCCGTCACTGCAGTGGGGAACTCCATCACAGACTTCGTAGCGACTCACGCAAGAACCATCACCACACTTGTGGTGTTCACCACAACCTGAGTCGGAGAAGTGAAATGAGCTGCATTTCCTTACGTTTTCGAGGGCATAGTAGGAGTTAGCATGAACTAAATGCCATTCGGCTGTCAGTCACCAATATTAATTAATACGTATATTTATAGTTTTATCAACATTTTGGTAAATTAGTTTGCACTGTTCCCGGCCACAAATTAATATTTGAACATTATTTTAAAATGGAGCATTTCAGCTACGGTTGAATATTTCCTGAAATGCTTCAGCTTTGCAGACGTGCATAGAAAAAAATATAACTCAGTATAAAAATATAACTCTGCAGTGAGTGATAGAGAGCGCATTTTCTCAAAATCGACGAAAACGTGAAGTAACGGACAGACGGACGGACAGACGGGCGGACATGGCGAGCACAATAGCGCATTTTTCCATAAAAGAGAAAATACGCTAAAAAGGCTTAAAATATACTATATGGAAAACCGTTGCTATGTCCCTCGTACCTGGGAAATGCAAATTAAAATGCTTTTTGCTACATCTTCGTCATCCATGTTTGATAAAGAGAAAAGGAAGCACAAAATCAACGCCTTGGCACACGCACCGCAATTTCTCTCATCAGACCCGTCGTCAGCGCAGTCGACTGTGCCGTCGCAGCGGCGCGTTCGTTCAATGCAAAGCTTCGAGAGACTGCACTGGAAGCTTCCAGCCGAACATCCTGAGACAAGTTCCACTCTCAAGTAAACAAATAAGGCATGGTGACAGGATATTTAAAATCAGATATAAAGACCGAATATTGTCGAAGAGGATTTAATACCCTGAAAAAAATTTAAAGGCGTATGCGACCCTGAATTAAGGTCGCCTGGTACTCGAGGAGTACGTTAATCAGCTTCTCTATGTCAGCTCCGGTTCAGGGTCCAAAGGGCAGCCTCTGGGCAGCTTGCTAGCTCGGTATGACTCGGCTAGGCCAACCCTTGTCATACTCTCAGGCGACTATAAAGTCGGATAGGAGATTCTGATCAGAAACTGATTTCGATCGGGTGGCCAAGCAGACCCAGAATAAATTGGCGCCGAGTGTAATGACTATTCGGCCGAAGCCTAGGCGGTCCTTGAATTTTGTTGTAGTATAAATTGAACGACGTTGGAATAGAAGACAAGAAATGATATGCTATCGAATCAGATATTAAGAGTCAAAATTATACAATTTGCTATTAAAATCAGATATAGTTATACATCACAACCTTAAATGAAAGGAATTAATGATTCAGATGATTACACAGAAATACGGCTCCTTCAATTACATTGTGCCATAAACCCTTGCTTGTTGTCCGAAAAATTTTCCTGATCATGCATTCACTGGGAAAATATTCGATAAGGACATCACTCAACATTTTACTCACCACAAGCTCGCCTTGACTCGTCGTAGCCGTTGCGGCAGTGCGGCTGGCCATCGCAGAACCGCTCGCTGGCCACGCATTGCTTTTTGCCGGATGCCATGCCTTCAAAGCCGCACAGCCGCTTGCCAACTCCGCAAGCTGCAGACATTTGTGGAAATGCAGCTAGTCAACGTGCATAAAAAATGTCAATTACGAGAAAATAATGGAAATTTGTCTATGTATTTTTCTTGATGGTGATGTAAGTAGCTGACTGGCCTCTGCTTTAGCATCGAGGTTTTGCCACCCTGAGTCCCTTCATACCTAAAATTTAGAATTATTCTGCATATGCCTCCTTTCTCCTCTTCATAGTAGCAATAATTTGGGACTTTGCTCGAATGCTCGAAATTGATCATGAGTATTTCGTATATCTTTTGAATTCATGAGAGCGATTATTATTTCATTTGCTTCAGCTACCACTCACAGCAGTCATGTTCGTCACTACCGTCACTGCAGTTGATTACTCCATCACACACTTGGTAGCGACTCACGCAGGAATCGTCACCACACTGATGGTGTTCACCACAAACTGAAAATTTGAATTGAGAAGAAAATTCGAGTAACTTGAAGATTAGTTGACAGAATGAAATTTTGTGCGCCGTTAATGTCATCCGGTTTTGGGTAACAATCAATCAGTCGTGGACAATTTATAGGACATTTATTTTTGAATGATTTCACACAAAATACCAAGTAAATCCTGAGATTCAACTTTTAAATAAAGCAATCTTTCTTTAGATAAAAATTTTGTGATGGAATGAAACACGTTTGGCTAAACAAGAATAATCTTGTTTCATATCCTATTAGAATTAGATAGACGTGGTTCCAATTAGAAAATCGGAGAGCATGAACATGCTTGTAAATATCGATGAAAAGATTTAGAAGAGACATACATGATCAATAAATACAAATGAAATAAAGCACAAAATAAGTAACCAATAAACTCACCGCAACCTCGTTCATCAGAGCCGTCCGAGCAGTCGACGTTGCCGTCACAGCGCCGCGATTGCGCGATGCAAAGTTTCGACGAGGTGCACTGGAAGCTCCCGGCTCCACATCCTGGGTAAAATCAAATTTCAATTGATTTAGTAAAATGATATACGAATGCTAGAAATGGTGAAATAAAATATTGTTATCAAAAAGTGTAGCCGCAGCTTTTAAGCATCTCGTGTAGCACTTGTTAATTTGACTAGTTTATAGAACAGCTACTTCGCCACGTGTCAAAACTGATCTAGACGCCGTCTAGCACGGTGCGGCGTGCAGACGTTGGATATATTTGTTGGTTGACACAACGTTGGTCATATTGAGCTACGTTTTCTGGCTAAAATGTGTACCAGAAGTTATTACTATACTTAATTGTGATCTTAAACTTTTGCACACCTATATGCAAATTAATTACAACCTGTGGCCGTGGCTGTAGCCTGAGGCATATGAATACTGCCGAATGTTGGTTCTGTTTAATGCTTAATTAAACAGAACCAACAAATTAAAATTTCTGTGTTCCGTTTACCAAGTTTCATTGGTAATCAAATTGCATGAATTAAACCTTTGTAAGAAAACGTGAAGAGCATCGTTAGTAAGATTCGTAACCAACCATAGGCTGGATAATGGATTTCAGCGCCTGGGATGCTGATTAAGTATTTCAAATGAACCATTAGGATAGGTAGTACTTTACTGCTTTCGCTGATGGGAAATGAATGGAAACACATTTTCTCCGAAAACGAACAAACAATACAGCTTGTTCAAAGTATATTAGGCACTTCCATGCGGCAGCGCTTCAGCAATAAGTTACAAAATCTGATTATTTATTACAATTATCCTGATGTTAATCCCTTAATAATACTCACCACAAGCTCGCCTTGACTCGTCGTAGCCGTTGCGGCAGTGCGGCTGGCCATCGCAGAACCGCTCGCTGGCCACGCATTGCTTGCCGGACGACGCCTGGCCTTCAATGCCGCACAGCCGCTTGCCTGCGCTGCAAACTGCAACGTAGGGTGCCCAATAAACGGTTAGTTAAATTATGTAGTCTCAACATAATAATATTATATCATTCTATGGCAAATATAACTCACCAAAGGTGAATGGCATTTAAAATTTGATTTTCCTCGTCACGAATATCGTGATTCAAGAATTTTTCACTACAATCAATTGAGAATTTCAACTGTCATCCGGACGTAAATGTTTTTCAATCTAAATTTGAACCAAAACGTAATCAGAATAAAAACGAGGCAATTATTATTTTTTTAATAATGTTCATGCCTGTAATATTAAAAAAAAGATATGAATTCAAATTTATATCACCCACAGCAGTTCTGTTCGTCGCTGCCGTCACCGCAGTTGGTAACTCCATCACAGACTTCGTAACGACTCACGCAAGAACCATCACCACACTTGTGGTGTTCACCACACGCTGCGGCGAAATAGTTTAATCCATCAATTGTCGGCCGAGTATGAAAATTTCTACCAAGCACAAATTGTTTTCTCTTAAAGAGCTGTATTCTAACAATAATTAATTCTGCGTACGCCATAAATCTAAAAAATTCCTCCTTCTAAAAAAAACTAGGGCAACGTTCTAACGATTCACATCCAATAATGAGACGAGAGAGTACCTTGACAGCTGTTTTCATCAGTAGAGCCGTTGCAGTGCACGAAGCCATCGCAGTAGCGGGCGTCTGTGATGGGAAGGCAGCTGTCGTTGCAGAGAAACGAATTTCCAGTGCAGGCGCTGCACGACATTTCGTCGGTGTCGTTCTTGCACTGGACGACGCCGTCGCAGCGTCGAGAATCCGTGGTAGCGACGCAACGTTCGTCGCACACGAAAAAGTCGTCGGGGCAGGAGGTGCAATTGGCTTCATCGCTGCCATCTTTGCACTCGGCAGTGGCATTGCAACGCACAGTGTTCGGGTGGCAGACATCATCGCAGAAGAACTCGTCTGCTTCGCAATCTTATGAGCCGAGAAGATTATGAGTTCATACTATGAACTAATTAGAAAATGCAACGCGAATTAAAAGTAAATCATTGAAATGAGAATCACTCAAGTGAATTCACTAGTAAAAAAGTTCAAGTTTATTTTTCGATTAGACTTGCTGCTGAGTTAAAGAGGTCAGAGAAGAAAATTAGCGCTTGAATTTATTACATTAGCTAATACTAATTTCAGTGGACATGAAACGTAGTTTGTCCTCCTGAGCTATTGATTAAAACTCAGTCAGTGCGGTAGTAAGAAGAGGAAACATCGCCTCTTTGGATTTTTCAGTTTCCACTGCACGAAATCTGATAATCGGATTTTATCGAACAGGTCTTCTAAAATGCAATAAAAATCAAATTCTCTAAATTTTTGAGATTACTTTGATGTAAATTCATGATCGATTAATATCTTACGGTTACTGAATTAACATTGTATCGAGAAGATAAATTGGCAATAACAAATGAATGAATGCTCTCTTTCTTTTAACTGACAATTTTCGTGTTTTTACATTACACTTCTTGCAACCAGAAACTTAGTTAAAGTAGAAAAATTAATATTATCTACAATTCGAAATTTTGGTGAAACCTCATATTTTTAATCAGTAACATCAAGAAGTTTTACTAAATAACAATGAAACTCGCCTGTACAATTGGTCTCATCTGATCCATCTTTGCAGTCGTTATACGTGTCACACAGGAGGTAATTTTGATAACATTTACCGTCACATAAAAAGGCATTTTCGTGACAGGAGCTGCATTTATCCTCGTCATGTCCGTCATTACATTCGAATTTTCCGTTGCAGCGCCGCGAATCATTACACGGAATGTTTTGCCCATCGCAAAAGAAGTTTCCGAAGAGGCAGGATGAACAGTTAGCTTCATCAGTCGCTCTCGTGCAGTCGACGATGCCGTTGCAGAAACGTGTGTCATTCACAAGCAAACATGAATCGTTACAGAAAAATGACTGCACATTGCAGGTTGTGCAATTAATTTCATCCTGCGCACAGTTTTTACAATTCAAATCTTGTGTACTCGTTGCACATTCTGGCACACCATTGCAGCGACGTGTGTCGGTGTTCAATAGGCAAGTATCGTGACAAAGAAAGGATCCATCAGCACAGTCTGTACAGTTGGTTTCGTCAAGACTTGTTGCACATTCTTTCACACCATTACATCGACGTGAGTCATTGTTCAATACGCAATCATCCTCACAAAGAAAGGATCCATCTGCACAGTCTGTACAGTTGGTTTCGTCAAGACTTGTTGCACATTCTGTCACACCATTACATCGACGTGAGTCATTGTTCAATACGCAATCATTCTCACAAAGGAAGGATCCATCAGCACAGTCTGTACAGTTAGTTCCATTCAAATTAACCCCACAGTCTTTAATTCCTGTCTCAATAATTTCAGGCTTGGAGTTGCTACTATCCATTTCATCCTGTGACGAAGTAGTCGTAGGAGGCATGGTTGTGATAATGCTTTCCAGAACATCAGCCGGACATTCAGCTAACGGATAACGGGAAAGAGAACAACTTGAATAAAAGTATACTATTAAATCTTCGTTAGTGCTGATTTGGCATTACCTGAGGTCTATGAATTAAGTGTATGCGGTAATGATTTGTGCGTGATTGTATGCTGACTGGGGTTGAAAATATTTCAATTTATTTATTGGAGTTTGCATTGAATATTACGCCACAAATTTAGAAAACTTATAGCAAATAAAACTAAATTCATTCGCCACTTTGTAGCCACTGAAACACACATTAATTTGGGGCTTCCACAAAAAAGTACATAGAGAAGAATCACAGGACTTACTTTGGCTTATGATTTGCACTTTGAGAGGAGGGTTGGTGTCACTCAACTGAGATATGTAATTTGCAATCGCCGAACATGACTTGATCTCGACGTACGTGGCGTTAGCAGTTAAACAATACTTGTTTAAAATTCTTGGTCTGCAACACAATTGGCATTAAAGCATAAAAAAGAACAGGCTTGCCCTAGAAATAATTATCATTTCCATGAAATTTGTTGCTTCAGGGGGAGAATTAGAATTTTCAACGTTTTCCCACTTAAGAGCGTTTTCTCGGTTATAGAACACAGAGCGAGCGAGTAAAAAGTAAACAATAAGGTAAAAGTTAAATTGAAATTTAATGTACAGGGTCCGCCATATTTATGGCAACGGATGTTTGCTATATAAAAATAAATTGGTTTCTAGCAGACTTTTCTTTTATAATTGAGCCTAATATCATCTATTAATTCATCTATTTTATATTGCAGAAGTCTAAGGTGTCTAAATATACTATTACTTATGGCAGTAGATAGAAATGCAATTGAAACCCTTCATGAAAAGGGCGAGAGTAATTCAGTCATTGCAAAAAACTCCAAATTCGTCGTGAAACTGTGTGGAAGGTGGTAAAAAAATTCAAGGAAACTGGTGAAACATACAATCGACCTGGTCAAGGATGGAAACGAAGTGTCCGAACAAAAGAATTGGTCAAAAACACGAGGGAGAAGTTGAGGAGGTACCCTAGTCGCTCCAGCTGCAAAATTGGCTGCAGAAGCAGGAGTAAGTCAGACATCAATTAATGTGTAGAGTCCTCAAAGATGACCTCATAACCTCCCCTTACAAGATGCAAACAAGGCATGAACTAACAGACCGTCTTGAACGAATGAGGCTCGAAAGATGCCAGCACATTCTGGATCTCATTGAGGATGGCACGCTGCCCAACTTGGTGTTCAGTGACGAGAAAAAATTTGACATTGAACAAAGCGTTAACCGTCAAAATGATAAAGTTTTGAGTCGGGATGGATCTGTGGCAACCAGAACAGCAACACGACGTTAAAATACTATGTCCGTGATGGTTTGGGCCGCGGTAACCGCCACTGGGAGGTCCCCACTCGTTTTTGTCCCCTCAAGAGTGAAATTGAACAGTCAGCGATACATTTCGGATATTTTTGGAGAATGTGTTGTTACCTTGGGCCCGTAAGCACTTCAACGGCTCACCATGGAGTTTTCAACAAGACTCTGCCCCATAATATGGCTCAAACATGACCCAAAACTGGATTCAGGGTCACATCCCAGCGTTCATTAGCAAAAATGAATGGCCCTCAAGAAGCCCTGATTTGAATCCTCTCGACTTTTCTGTGTGGGCTAATTTAGAGACTAGGGTCTGCAGAACACCTCATGATTCTTTGGATAGTTTGAAGTCTAAATAGACACGAGAATGGGACTTGATCCCTGAAGAAAATGCTGCGTGTCTCCTGTGAAGCTTTCCCGCGTAGATTGGAGGCCGTCATTAAAAATAAGGGTGGTCATATTGAATAAATATTTCTGAGAATTGTTTAGGTAATTATTGGCCACTAGCTCATCCAATAAAAAAAACAATATACCTGTTTGTTTCATTGAGAAATAATGAAAAACATGCGTTGCCTTAAATATGGCAGACCCGGTATAACAATTTCTTCGAACATTTCATCAAGCAAGGCATTATTAAGGTATAAGATGATTAATACGTACTTTTTTATCTTGATTGGCTTAACACATACAGAAAAAATATTCTTCAGGCTTTGTTCCACCTTGTTTTTCAATTCATTGACCATTTTTCTTGTCACATTCCCGTGAGGAGGATTTATAATTGGGATACAAAATTTCGAGTCGAAATCTGAAAAAATAATGCAGAAATATGTAGAAAAAATTACCGCAATTGTATTAAGGAATATTTCAGTCGTTACAGAAATCAAGTCCGATGCGATATCTTCCTCGTGAAGTAATTTTTGACGCGCAAAATCTTGGAACTGAGTAGCAGAGAAATAAAATCATGAAGTCACTGGGAATAATTTAGTACCGGTATATTCGACCGCACGGTGTGACTAAGAATGGATCACCGACTGTAAAATAATAAGACTTTTGATTTTCATTTCGAGTCGTAAAATATAAACATCATTGCCTCAACATCATCTTGTAGATATTTTCCGACTCACTAGATGAGTTCGACGTAGAGTTACACGACGATTCCAGGGCCGGTGGCTGAAAAAATAACGTCGTAGATTAGAAGCGGTTCACAGAACCATAAATATTAACAAATAATCATTTAAAGATAACAAGATCTATTGAGTTTTTTAAAATTAGTGCTCCAAATAACTTATTAAATTCATAAATGAAAGAAAGCCTTCATTAGAGGAAAATTAGTACTATACCTACTTTTGACAGCGTAATTATGGCTACTGGAATGCAATTGAATCTGGTAAACAAAATACATTTATAAAATTTTCAAATTAGTTAGACATATAGAACTTAATTGGATACCCTATAATAATGTGTTGCTAGAAAATGTAACATTGACTATGAAATTTGTGAATATGATTACGAAACGGCATTAAAAAGATATATATTTTTTATTAAAATTGTACCGCATATATCACGAAACAGATGCGATCAATAATATATACGTTATTTATTGCATCCAATATGAATCGCTGGTGTTCAGGGTATCTTCTAAGCCTACATTGTTATCAGACGGTAAAATAATGCCACTATGCTCTAGCGAACGCATGTGAGTGTTATTTTCGGCAGTGCATTTATTAGACAGATACGTTGCAATGTTGACTTTCTGGCTCATGTACGTCATAAAATAATCAAAATCCTGACCTCGAGTCTTATCATCGAGCAGATTAGTAAACCACAAATAACTGGATTACCTGTATCTGATTTCGAAACTCTTGATATGGTTGTAAAATGTAAATTGAAAGACCCATGTAAATCAGGATCGTCAGGCCTCACTGATATTATTTTGGGTTTCGTAGAATTTCCGATTTGACTCCGCGAGATTTTTTTATGGGGTTATCTCAAATGAATTGTTTACAATGTCCAAGGACCCTTCCTCATATGAATAACAACATACACCAAGCCATCGCCAGCACATCCGTCAGCGAGTTGAGCGGAACTTAAAAAAATGACTATAATAGAATGCATTGACAATGGGGCCGTCATTTTTTCCGATGTCATTTCTGAAATTAAATGATACAAAAATTCAGTTAATGTGTTTTTAAAACAAAATTCATATTGAAATGATAGCTTCACTAGTTATTTTTAGCGCATTTTCTCATTTATGAAAAAAATGCACTATTGTGCTCGCCATGTCCGTCCGTGACTTCATGTTTTCGTCGACGAGAAAATGCGCTCTCTGTCACTCACTGCAGTGAGTACTGAGTTATCTTACTTTCATTAAGTTTTCAAATCAGGAAGTTTTTGTGAATCACTTTGTACAATAAGCGCTGAGTCCTCACCTGTCCCTCCAGGGCTCCCTGGGCCTGGCAGTGGTAAGTGAACAAGAGGATAAGCACAAAAGCTGCCACGAGCTTCATGCTAGTCATCATGATGGTGTTTGTGTGTAAATTTACCTGAGCCAAAGAAACTATGATAAGTAAAAATTAACACTCAACTTACAACATAAAATAGGAACTACTTTTCCCCTTTTCGGTTTTTCTAAAAGTGGTTAAATCGAAAAAATTCTTCAAGCCATCAATAGGTACTGAAATGAATAGGCTCAATATTCAAGGATCTAATTGACCAAAACTTCATTAGCTAAGTAGTAGAAACGAAAGTGAGAGCCCTATCTTCATCATTACCGAACTTGAGGATAACTTCGAGAGAACTGAGCTTGTCATTCAAATCAAGTCCCAAGAAAGAGATATGAATTGTTCAGCCAGCTATCAGCTGAGCCTATATTCGATAATTAAGGCCATACATCGCTGACTTGTGCTTTTTGGTGCGAGGTTAATAAACAAATTTTAATTCCTTAGTCACACTACATTGTGAATGATTCATTGATATAGGGACCAATCGAACCCATGCCTAGAAAATCTTTCAGATAAGAACTAAACGCAGCTTACTTTATTCATCAGCCATTTAATCACACAGAAATTTTCGTTGATCCAAATTCTTATTCACTTATTAGTCATATATTTAATGCAAGTCCCGAACTCACTATATTTAGTAATTTTTACATGTAATAAAATTCTTAACAATTCTAAAACAAACAAAAAATGCCATGAATGTAAACAATCACACAATTGTTTATGAAACAAAATTAATAATTCTTTCATAATTATATACGCCTGAAACTTCATTATATTCACTAAATTCTATTCACTCGAACGCATTTTATGCATTTACAGCCCAAAGTGCATTTACAGCCACGTACATACAGCCAGCCTACAAGCTAAAGTTTACTGGTCGAGTCTTCAAACAAGTTTAAAAACCATTCCGCCTACAGATTTTATTACCGAATTTTGATACAATCAAAGGCCTTTTATTGATGATAAATCTTATCGCGGCTGATAAAGTTTAAATCACCTACAAAATGTAAGTGCCTTTATTACCAAAAATTTATTAGTATTTAGCAGCATTATCTTTGAATAAATTTGCAAGGTAACAGTTATCAGTGAGCCGTAATTGAATGTTTTGAAGTCTTGCCTCACTACTCACTAGGCTCCATCTCGAATCGATCAACTATTTAGTTAGATTTTCATGCCTCTGAGCTCATTTAATAAATTTCAAACGCTCATTGAGCTGATTAAAGATTAGATGGCTATAAAAATTTATTTTCCTAGCTTATCAGACGATTTTCAAAATTGAACGATTTTCAAGATTGAATTTGTAATTACGAGTAAATAATATACGTTTAAAAATTACTATTTAAAGACAACAATTCGAAAGAATGCAGTGTCTCCGATGATACAAATGTACAATGAATTTATACTTTTACTATCAAATATAAAAAATTAATTTATAAATTTTATTTTAAAATAAGAAAATAAACTTTTCACAATTATTTATTTTGTCAATTGATTCATGCATTGTCTCCCTCTTTACGCAAGTGTACAAAATTTCAGATCAATAGGACAGGTAAAAATGTATTAAATATCGATTATAAGACATGTACCTAGCTGACAAAATTATTTTTTCACTTTTTTTTAATATTAAAAATATATTTTTTAGGTTTTCAAAATTGATTCATCTGCCAATTGGTTCGTGCATTGTCTCCAACTTTACGCAAGTGTGCAAAATTTCAGATCGATTTGAGAAGTAGAATTATTTTAAATCCCGATTATTAGATTTGTAGCAGACAGACAAACAACAAGAAGTGAAGTTAAATAGAAGTGTTGTAGAAATAGAATAAATGAGGGAACTCAATTGGAGAAAATAGTATTAGTATGTTACTTCAGAAGAATGCAGAACAATAACATTACATCATCATTGTAGAGCACATACTGACTGCGCCACATTACTAAATTTATAGTTGTGTCCCGAGAAAAGCTTGTTACGAATAAGTTTTCCTCTCAATTAAGTTCTACAAATGCCGAGCTGCCAAATTATTGAATTTATTTAGGAATGACGAAAATTTATTAGTCCCTCTTAAATATCGCGTTTTTTTTAATTATAAGAGAGAATTTCACGCTACCATAACTATAATTTGCAAACAAATACGAAGCTCTAAAAACATCATCCAAATCTATTCTGCAGTCAAAATTGGTACGCAAATACTCATGTAAACTGGTAAGATATATATAAAAAATTAATCTAATTCATTATTTTAATTCATCAATGCGATTTTATTCATTGTATTTTGGTTTCGGCATAGTCTTTAACAAACGCAATTTTACAATTTTTCTCTACAGAGAAAGTATTCGGAACTTAAAAATGCCCAACACATAAAATGTTCCTCGACATGTTTGCGTCTCGTATCATAAGTAACATTTACTGCAGGTTAATCCTGATTGGCTCGTTATAGATACTCTAGTGCTGGCTCAAGCTTCTATGCTACAACATACGAATATCAATGATGGAGTGTTTCATCTTGTGGGAGGTTGTGTTTTCACTGGAGAGAACCTCTAAATACCAAAATATTAAATTATTTCATGTACCTATTCATGTACATAAAAATTTGAAATTTCAAATCATGGTGGTTTCCAGATACGATGATCCATACAAGTAGTGACTCGAACATTAATATTAATAATTATAAAATTAATTACGAGAAAGTAACACTTCTCAAAAAATCTCATGTAAATTGAATGAAAACACATTCATACTAAATTCGAAAAAGGTGAATAAACGTCAATGAGTGGCGTCACAATTCACAAACCTATCACTGTATTGTGTATAAGATTTCAACGACTTACACTCAACCTGACGTTGTAATAGGCACCCATCTAAGCAATTTTTTTCAAAACGACATACTGTTGCGGGAAAGCTGAGCAACACTTCAACTATAGATAGTTATACCGTACCCGTCACTTAAAGTTGAATTCTAGAAAAGATATGGAGAATGGATGAAATGGCTAGCGTTTCACTTAATGAACAAAAATTTAGTTGCATGAGAAAATTAAGACAATGAATTATGTACGATACACAGGGTCGAACGCCTAGGTTATACGTGAAGAAGAAAATCTGGCTAATCTGTGCCCAACCGTTCACATGGCTGGGTCGATGTGCAGTCACATACTGGTAAGGTGACATGCCACTCAAGACGCGAAGATAACTCATTTTGTCTAATACATGAACTTATCGGAGGAGCGCAGTCGTAGATTCATCGTGGCTCATTTTATCCATCAAGTCGCAAAGATACCGGTGCTGTCTAATACATGAACTTAGCGGAGTAGCGCAGTCCTTGTAGTAGACACGTCGTGACTCATTTTATCCAATGGACGCCGCCCAGTAGAAACCTCCAATCACGCTGGTCGACAATTGGTAAGTTAATAAATCAACTTAACGAGGAAGTTCGGGCGGAAGGCAGCGTCGCGCCCGCTGGTTGGGCCATTGTCCAGGCTGGTTATCTAGGGCCTCTACTCGGTCAACGCATATGCCATGTTCAACGACAAAGGCACCATGGCAGTCCATAATCGTGACAAGATTGGAAAAAAGTAGCGAACTTCAGCGCAGGAGGTGAAACTAAGTAAGAGCTTGTCTTGACAGACCAGCACGCGGTCACCGCATCCAGCCCCGCCCGCTGACGCCGGCGGGGCAATCGAGAGCGAGATGATGAAAACTCAAGTCCAGCTTAGCTTCGAGTAATGCGTTGCGACGAAATAGAATACGCGACCGACGGTTCGCAGAAAGTCGCGCCGCTACAAAGTAGCCGTGGATTTGCATTACCACTTGTTTTTTTTATCTTCGTGGCCACTTGAGACGGAAAAACGCCCACTCGATATCATGAAAGTGCCTGAGCCTTATTTATTCGACAAGAAACTTTATTTTTCACTGGTAACGCAGAAGTTCTTGGATTTCTGTTCAGTGGACATTTTGTCGACTGGATACTTTTGTGACTTTTGTAACGACTTTTTGTAACGCATGGATTAGCCTTCCCACACAAAGTCCAGGTAAGCGAACTTTATAAGGAAATACTAACGTTTAATTGCATATTCTAGCAGTTGAATAGTTAATCCTCATATATTCTAATTCTTCCGCTGATCTAGTTATTCACAGCCTTTCTCACCATATACATATGTATGCAAACTGACTTAGCTCAAACTTACCTATGATCTACAATTTTTTCATTGTTATCTCTGAGGTGAAATAAACGTGGGAAATGCATCTATTTCCCCCAATCATCATTGGGAAGGCTTTGCAGTGTTTCTTCCACTGCAGCATTTCTGCCGTCGAATGAATACATTTACGCGGCGAAGCTTTTGCAGGCCTTGGAATAATTAAATTACAAACACTTGTGTGGATTTCCAATTAGGCCTCGTGAATATTTTGCCTTGTAAATTGCACCTCCTAAAAAAGCATTGGACGGTCCGCTGCTGGAAACTTCATTTCTTTGCGTGGAATTGATCGGAGCGCCTAATTGATTTACCGCGCTGCCGCTGCCGCGCGAATGAGCAAAAATTACCGAGCTTGCCTAATAAATTTGGGAGACTTTGTCAGGAGACGAGAATTGTTTCTAAATAGAATTAATGGTGTTGGATTCTGATGGAGTTTCAATGAAAATAAATAACTTGAAAAAATAATACGTTGATTAGTCAGCTACTTCCCATTACTGATCTTGCGATGTTATTATATTGCATATGGATTTCTTTGGATTCTTTGAAAAACGTGAGCATTTTGCTTTAGATAACTTTGATATGTGCTACTTTAAATGCAAGTAAAGATTAGATAACGAAATACAACATTCAATAAAAACAATACAACATTAAACATTCATACAATATCATCATAAATCGGCATAATTAATCGGGTGAGTAATTTTCTTCATAAATATTATGATTTATAGGATATTATCAGGGTTTTTACCTGTACAATAGAACTTAACAATATAGATGTAAGCACGAATAGTATCCTGCATTTACGTACCAAGCCGTCCATCGAAATAAATGATGCATCAGTTGGTTAAGCGCGCCCTATCCGCAGATGTTATTTTGGGAAGCAAAGTACTCCAAGATTTCTAATTCGTATAACGAATTGATGTTGATTTTGTTCCACAAAAATAATGCAGAAATGTATCATTCTTCACCAAAACTGGAGCTCAATCCAAAATTCCAGAATTAACTTTCGTGGTAATAATGCCGTGACGTATCACACGTCTTGAAAATTTTCCAGATTTAAGAGCATAAACAACTCACAGAATCACGTACAGG